TATATAATCTGTGTTTCCCGTGTAATAGCTCCATCAAGAGAAACTGTATCAATTAAGCTTAGTTCTTTTTCTCTTGGCTCCAAGCAATGTTCGAAGGACCTGCCTTATTCTTCCACTCGTTAAATCCTCCCTATATATGAAGGGAAAATACTGAAATTAATAAAAAAAAGCTTGCATGGTCAGTTGGTGTACGGAAGTTCACCTAGGGTTGTGGGGGTTAAAGGGGGGCGGGGGCGGGGGCGGGATAAGGAGATCTGGAGATCTTGTACCCATAGCTCAAGAGTTTCTAGATCTCTTGGTCAGCACCTCTCGTTACTCGGTGCTGACCAAGAGAAAAGGGCTCTGGTTACGATATTGTAATAAATTCAGTTTGTTGAGTTGGTGCGGGGGAGGCCCTTATGAGAAATCCCGGGTATAAACCACTTACCCTGCCCTGCACTTACAAAGAAGACGCGTACATCAGGACACCCGCACAAATCGGCAGCCAAAGCCAGAGCAGATGACGACATGCCACTGAAACACATTGTAACAACTGGCTTACTGAGATCAATCCCAGCATCCTTGAAAACTAAAGACAGAAAAATAAGAATGTTGTCACATCGGAAAAGATCCGTCCACCGGTCTACAAGTTTTACTATACTTCGGGAGAATTAACGTAACTAAAGTACCGTGCGCGCGCCGGGGCATGGACAGATGTGAAGTGTATGAATTGTCACGCTTTGACTAAGTTTGTTGTGTGACATAGTTTAGTAGTGACATGTATAATAAAGATAGGGGAGAACACATGTAAGCGCAAGAAACACATATAACAAGTGAATAAAGGGTTTTACTACTGTATTTGTATCTGGAGTCAGATTGGAACTTGTAACACAGGCTGTTAGCAATATCGCAAGACTAGTAAGTGTACGTACCCTGTTTTAGTTCTCCAGTGGTCTTTAAACAACGTGTTTTGTCGTCTAATAGTGATTGATAGGGTATGTTTACTGCTCCAGGATAATGGCCAGTATTGGGGTCTGAAAGGATGGTAAAAATKATCTGTATCGAAAATAAACTGTTTTTTTTACAGGGGGAGAAATATTCATGTTACTATTATCAGTCACTATTATCATCATTATCAAAATCATTCTCATCGTCAACAACATTAGCATCACCAGCATCACCATCACCATCACCATCMACATTATCTTAATCAACCGTTACCACAATTTCTCATCAACATTGATTATTATCATCATCAACAACATCAACCCCATCAACATCAACATCATCATCATAAAAATTAATTAATTAATTATATAACTTTGTTCATAGAGRATAACACTTGACAGTAATTCAACTGATAAACTTGTGGTCCTCTGTTAACGTCTCTAGTTAATTAGGGACGGGACCGCCATTAACGTGATCATCCGAGCCACGTGAAGGTCGAACCATTTGTAGATGTAATTACAAAGGCAGCATCTTCTCCTCAGTTATTTTAAGACCCTGAGTGTTGGACCGGCCGAGGCTTGAATCACGACCTCCCGCACAACAGACCGACGCTCTTACCAACTGAGCTAACCGGGTGGCGGTTAATCATCATTATCATAATCTTCAACATCATCATCATCATCAACATCAACATCAACATCAACACCAACATCATCATCATCATCATCAACAACATCAACATCATCATCATCATCAACACCATCATAATAATCACAATTACCACCACCACCCACATCGTCATCATATGCATAATTTTTCAATATTAGACCAGATAGTTTCATACATTACCATTTACATGACCTTTGAACAGTTTCTCAGACCTTGAGTCACATACTTGAGAACTTTTCTCTTTTAGATTCTTGGCCATATCATCATAGCTTACCAACCATTTTTCTGCAGGCTTTGCTTTGAAATTACCTTCCTGTAAATTTTTTCTGTAAATATTACTGATAGCTTGTGTATAGCGGCCAAGAGGTAGTGGGATGGGGGGAGGGGAGAGTGGGGATAGGAGATGGGAACGCATTGATTATTTACCCTTATTTTTAGGCACATGTCGGTTGTTTCATAGCCATCTGATATCCATTTTTCGAGGCCTCCATTTAAGATAGACACCTTGTCGTGTCCATAAATCTACAAAAAGAAAATAAGATACATTTTTTAGCTTACAGTCAACTATCGTTACAGCGGACACCCTCGGGACCGTCGCTTCATGTCCGTAATAGCGAGCGTCCGTAATAGAGAATTTCTTTCATTTAATTTCTTTGTCGGTGTTTTTTTTTTTTTTTTTGTCGGGGAATTTTCTCCTGTCCGTAATAGCAAGGTGTCCGTAATATTGGGGGGTCCACAAGGCGAGAGTTGACTGTACATAGGTCATTAAAATGCCAGAAACCACTTCTTCAGTACAGCATAACTATCCAAGGTTTGCATCGCTATATTTTCCCTTTGGGCTTCCATAAAATCCTTGCTGTCCATAAATAAGTCATCAGATCCAGGCCTCTATGGGCTCCCTGCGGTTTGCGATAATCAAATATGATAGGGTACCTTGAACATGAACAATACTCTAGGTCCAGTGAAGAATCCACATCTATCATCACAACCGTCACATAGGATCACATGACTATCATCATCGACGCCTGCGCCTCTTSCATTCATTTCAAAGGCAGCAGCATCAGCTAGCTTACGAGGATCTTCTGGGGTTAGTTTAACGCCTTGGAAGAGATTAAAATGCACTGCACCTTGTATGTGTCTTCTACAAAAAAAATAAAATAAAAAATAAGAAAAATAGAATACCCTCATTGATAATTTAAGAGCTTTGCGTCCGAATAAATAGATAAAACTGAAACATCCCTCCCATCCCTCCCCTACCTGAATCGCCTCTCTTCTAAAATATCTTGCATATAGTTTACCATTCCCCTCCCCCCCTCCCCAACGAAGGCACGTATTTTACTTACCCCTCCCCTCTTAGATGCAAGAATTGCTTACTCACGCAAGACCGTGACCACGTCGAAAGTAACTAAGTAATAGTTCTAAAAGAAATTTCCTTTTCTCTCTAGATCGATGCTTCGTTTTAAGACCAAAAAAWTTGTTCTTACACCCATGGACGTGTCCCTAGAAACTTTTCCGGCATGTCTCTGAAGTCAGTTTGGAACAAATTTAAATGGCAGAGTTGATCCCGACAATCCACCAAATCCGATTGCATTTATAGGAAAACCTATAAAAACTAGCTCGAATTTGACATTACTATGGAGCTTTATTAGCATACAGGAATGTCTCGATACTTCAACCTAAYTTTGACTACAGTTGCCGTTTTGTAGGGAGCCTTTACGTTTGCGAGTACGAGGGGTCATACAAGGGCTTATATTACGTGCTTACTTGGCGAAGTCTTGCATGGCATCTCTGCTACTATACCAAGTAACATCAAGTATATGAAGCTTTTCAGTGGCTGACTGACTAATTCGTTGATTTAACCACTCTGTTGAAACTAAGAGAGGGACCTTTTCCATTTTGACCCGCGTTCAGGTGCTTTGAAAAGGCGCCAAGCTACGGCAGTTTTGTTGAATTGACTTGCGTGACATTCCTAGTTGGACACAGGAAACCCAAGCTACGGCAGTTTTGTGAGTTAAAAATAATCGACTTGCGTGACACTGCTAGTCGGACACAGGAAACCCAATTTCACAACACCGATTCAATTTTATTTAATCTTGGTCATAGCAATCAAAACTACATTTTCTCATTAGTAAAATTGATATTAAGATAGTACAATAGTTTYGATATTAGCAATACGAAATAAAAATTTTTCTCAAATTTGAATTTCAGGTATCCTCTAAAGATTTTTATTATTTATTATATTAAGCCTAGATATAATGTTATATAGAAGTACATAATACAAACTSCATGTTCCAGAATAGAATCATTTTATAGAATCATATTAGTATATGTAATAGAATTCCATGCTGTCCAATTAAGAAATAATTGGATGAGGAAAACTCTGAGGACTGACAAAATTGGATGAGGCTGTAGGCCGAGTCCAATTTGGCAGTCAGAGGAATTTTTCCAGTCTAATTATTTCTTGATTGGGGAGCATGAAATCCCATTACCTATTAATTATATAGTTGCCTAATTAATTCCATATCAACAACTGGCCTGTCCAACTAAGAAAATAATTGGACAGTTAATAATTATTATAATTAATTATAATTATTGTATAATTAATTATTCTAAATATCTACATGTTTCATTATTGTACAATATTTTCAGCACGTTGTCTTAAGCTTGAACTTTGATATCACTGCTTCTTTGAAGTTTCCCTGGCTAGTGGTACTATAGCCTCCTTGCTAGATGTCTTGCCTTCTGTTGCACAAATAGAAATTCTCAAACTAGGMATACATGTTTTATTTATTATGCTATAGTAAAAACAAAATGTAGGTCTTTGCCACCAAGGCCATGATATCTCCCTTACCATTTCTTAAGTGACTACATTGTCCCTATGAAAGGAAATCAAAATTTTGTATCTCTTATTTTAATAAGTTTTAAAGTCCCAATACTTTAATGGTCCATGTAGGGTGTACATAGAATTATTGAGCTGGTATATGGGGTAGTATGTAGGCTATCAGTAGGGTGTTGGGAGGCTGTCAGAGGGGTGTAGGTAGGTTGTCAGTAGCGTGCGGGTAGGCTGTCAGTAGGGTGTGGGTAGGCTGTCAGTAGGGTGTGGGTAGGCTGCCGGTAGGTTCTGGGTAGGCTGTCAGTAGGATGTGGGTAGGCTGCCGGTAGGTTCTGGGTAGGCTGTCAGTTGGGTGTGGGTAGGCTGTCAGTTGGGTGTGGGTAGGCTGTCAGTAGTGTGTGGGTAGGTTGTTGGTAGGGTATGGGTAGGTGGTCAGCAGGGTGTTGGTAGGTGGTCAGTAGGGTGTTGGAAGGATATTAGTAAGGTGTTAGCAAGTGGTCAGCTGGGTGTGGATAGGCTGTCAGTAGGGTGTGGGTAGGCTATCAGTAGGGTGTGGGTAGGCTGTATGTAGGTTGTATTGGTAAGTTGTCACTAGGTGGTTGGTTGCTAGGTTGTTGGTGGGATGTTGTTCCGGCATTGGTGGGTAGTCAGAAGCGGTTTGGCCRGTTTTCAGTTGGGTGTTGGTGGTTTTCAGAGGCTTTTTTTAGTAATGTGCTATTAAGTGAAGATATTCCTACCAATAACTTACAGCTGATGTGCATTTTCAGGATCACTGACAAGAGACTGAGGTTCGGCATCGCTGTAGCCATCTATCAGAACACTATCTTCCCTGGACTTCATTTTCATGATCATGTAGGCTTTCAGGGCTTCACGATACTTGAACGCCTGGTAAATCRACRAGCACAAGAGATAACCCAGTGGCACGTAGGACAACATGCGAATAAAGAGCTTAATGGTTCCAATATAAGACAGGCCAAAGCTTTGAGCATTCTGGAGGGCTGTGCTGAAAATGGCCATGATACCAAGGTTACTTAGGAGAACAGCATCTAAAAGATTGAGCCAATTGTATTCTTGCTTGTAAGGTTTCAGGTACACGAATACAGCTAGAATGATCATGCAGGAGTCTTCGAGTATAGCTCGTTTCATGGGACTTGGAGTCATGTAAGTTGATATTATGATTAGGTACAGGCGACAAACAAAGTAGAATGCAGAGCACCAGCGGTATTCGTCCTTGAAGCAGCCTTGGAATGCATCATAATATGGCTTTAGAGTGAAGACATTTACTAATGGTCTCAAAAGCTTGGTGATGAATGGTGTGAACATGAGGATCAATGGGCATGGGATGACTATGAATATGAGGAAGAGAATTGCAATAACTGCATATCCAATATGCTTTCCTTTAAAGAAATCCACTTGGCCATCCATAAACAAGACTGTCTTCCCTCCAATGTGAGCTGGGTACAAGAGCTTGAGAGTGATYGTGGTGATATTGGTGTAACATAACACAAACAGGGTGCAGAGGGCACGGAACGGTGCCTTTACCCGACGACTGTAACACCAGTTTGGGTACTTGCGGACCACTTTGGCTAGAATGTAGACTGCAATGAATATGTACACCGGTAAAATATACATTATCACTAGCTTGTCGGCATCGTCCATCTTTTCCATGAAACAAGATCCTCTGGGTAATTTTATCTTAATATTGGCCAACCCAATCATAAACTGCATAAAGGAATCCAACGTAAAGCCTTCAATGAATAATAAGGTCATCACTTGGAAAGAGTACAGCCATGCATTCAGGTAGCCAGTGAAAACATYCAGGTTGATCAATGTAACAAGCATTACTATCAAGAAAAGGACTATTCCATATGGTATTACAGTGAGCAAGTACAGATTAGAGCATTCAGAGCWGCATTCTTCACTGCCAAGCACAACRGTATAATTTGCTTTGCAAGCGCCACAGAGTATACCATCACTCTTCCGACTCTCAATGCACATTTTATCAGGTTCATATTTATATGCTTGTGCCTGACCATTTGATAAGCCATTAGCTCTGCAGTAAGTATCAGGACAGATATAAGTTAAGAATTTATCGTTTACTACTCCAGCCCAGTATCCATCCCGAATGAACAATGTTTTTCCATCTTCACTGCAGTTATATATTCCACTTTGATCCTTCGAWGCACATACACAGTCATGATCATCCTTATTGAAAAGAAATCCAGGAAAACAATTCTGCACAGTGAGATTACCAAGTGTCTTTTGCACCAGATGTTTACCAGTTGTCTTGAGTTCGACTTTAAATTTATCTCCAGGTTTTCCTCTTATTGCGAGCCCTTTGATGTGGTTGYAAACAAGAAATAATGCTGAAGTTCCTTTGAGACTTACTGAAGGATTAGAATGAATCAAGACTTGCACAATACCATATACATTATTTCCCTTTTCATCAATCAACTCGACRGTTGCATTAAAAACTTGGCTTGGAGCGACGATCCATTCTGAGGAATTAAAAATAATGTCTATAGGTTCAGTGACTACCTCTCCTTTAAAGCTCACATTTTCCCCTCCTCCACCTCGGTATTTAATGAACTTCCACTCTAAGGCAGTGTTTTTATCTCTGGTCTCTCCCACTCTAAGACAGTCACGCAATGTCGATGCAAAAACTGATCTTCCAGAGGAATTTATCTCAAATGATTTGTCTCCAACACTGTTATTTTGAAATATTATTTCTGTATCCCATTCATTGTAATCAATACCATCTTTATAATAAGCCAAGAAACATTTATGTATTTGTGCYCCATTGGCATTAAAGCTAACTAGTGGTGGTCCTGGTGCCTCGATATACAATGCTCCTCCTTTTTCTTCGCAAAAATTGTGGAGAAAAGAAAGCTTTGAGCGTTTTGCTAAAATTATTCTAGCACTTCCATAAAGTGATATTGCCCCTCCTCTAAATCCTTTGTTGTTCTCAAAAACAACATTGTTATGTACTTCCATAATGGCAGAGTCTAATACAACAGCAGTGCCATTATTATATGAGATTATTACATTGTTCTTGAAGACTAAGGGAACTTCATCAGCATAAATAGCTCCTTGACCAACTACATAGCTTTTTGAAGCTGTAGTGACATTATTGTGTGATATATCACAGTGCTCAAATATGATATCGTATGGTAAACCAGGGCCTATATCATCTTCGTTTCGATTCACCAAGAAGGCACCAATAGCAGAGCCAACGGTTCCAGAATTCCTAGAGATATTACAASACTTGAACGTAATCTCAGTTTGTTTGAATTGTACAAGCGTATTTAGTGGTGCTAGCGATGTTGCACCATAAGTTGCCAAGCCTCCTCCCCAGAGAGCAGAATTGTTTGTTATTTGACATGATGCGAAATTGAAGATGTTGGGCAGAATAAGGAAATCCTGTTCAACAGTACTTGACAATCGGAAACCACCTCCTTCTGCWCGTGCAAAGTTGTTCTCAAATACAGTATTTGTTACCTTTACAGTATTATTCGCCGTTCTATTTTGTAAATCAATCTGCATACCCCCACCCCAAACAGCAGTATTATTAGCAAACACACTAGAATCAATAACAACACGGTTATCAGTTGAGTTACCAAATAAAAACAAGGCCAGCCCTCCACCACGACTAAAGGGAAGGGTTGGAATCTCTGGTATTGCAATGTCTGGTGTAGGTGCTATATTGTTGGTAAAATAGCAGTTCTGTATAATGATGTCAGTTGGTTTCGTGTATATGATTGCTTCCTTTCTTGGAATTTCCAGGGGGTTGAGAGGGTTATATTTCATCTCCCCAACAGAGAGAAAGACACCACCTCCTGCTTTGGCAAAACGTCCAGAAGACTCAGCCAGGATTTCTTGGTAGTAATCAATGTTTTGATTTTGCACAGTTTGATTTGAATCATTCGGTACATTACGATCAAAATTGGAATTCAAAATCACAACTTTCCCAGACACTGTATAAACATTGAGTCCAACTCCGGGAGTGTCTGCAATCGTCACGTTCAGAAACTGTAAGCCATAGCAATAGTTGATATACACGGCTGATATGAACTTAGGATTAGAAATGTTACCTTTCCAGTCTTCTTTACCTACGGAACTAGCATGCCATCCTCCACACTTTCTTAAAGTGAAACCTTGGAAAARCAAATCCCTCACGAGTGTAAATGCAAGGCTCGTGTTTTCAGCACATGTTATGATGACTTCTTCAGCACCTCCTTCTCCATRGATAGCGAAATTTTCGATATTCGTGAAGTTAAAGCTTGTGTTTAGATTGTATTGTCCTCTCTCTAGCAGCACACGAGTTGAACTTGCTCCTTTGGTGACAGCATTTTGCAAGCCTTGATCGACTGTTCTGCAAGGAAAATCTTCGTCCCCGCAAGTGTCGGAATCGTTTCCCTTGGGAGATACATAAATGGTACGATTCCATGGCTCACCTGCTGCAAATGAGAGGGATTCCAGGCTTATAAAGTAGAAGAAAAGAAGTAAAACGACAGTACATTTGCCACCCACCGCCATGTTATAAATTTTCACCTTCTGGTCATATCAGGTTACGAGTTTCATTTCTTGGAAGTCACGAGACTGAAAACCTATGTTTGGATTCCTGTGTGGTTGGRATGAAATGGCGGGAAAATCCGATTCATAGAGAGAAAAAGATTTGAGAAAAATGAAAGAGAAACAGAATGAAAGAGAGAGAGAGAGAATAATAATAAAAGTAGTCAAAAATAAATGACAATTTGCTTGCCCAATAATAACTTTAAAAAATTTTTTTCAACACATCACAGACAGACAAACAGACAGACAGACATAAACAAAAGAAAGATAATAAAAAGACGAACGAACGAACGAAAAAAAAGTTAAAATCAAGATTAGGAAATACACCAGTTTTATTTAGAACCAGTTAGGGAMAAGTTGTATTTACAAAATAAACTTAGCATGTAAAATACAAAGCAATATTGTAGATTAATTTGGTTTATTTCGATTCAATCACAAGAAAATGTTTATCAATTAGCTCTTTTCTCTCTCGTTTCTCACACTGGGCTTCCTGTGTTCTCAACAGCAACAAAACCAAACCCGGCCAACAAAAACTTTAGCGACTATTTTTTGGTCCAGTAGATTTAGTTTCTTTCATTACTTTCCCTTTTCATAAAAAAATTGTTCGAGCTGCATATGCTTTAGGTTAAGGTGAAAATAAATTGCTCTAAATGAATAATACGTACGCTACAAGAAAATATTATTTTAGTTCATGCATCTATATAAAATATTTGACCATCTAACCATCAACGAATATTTTTTTCTTCATTCACATTCTAGGGATATTATTGAGCACACAGGCTCACGATACAGCAGCAGRCTAAACAACTATCATGACACAATGTCTCTTTAGTGAATAGACCTCCTTAGGTCTAATGTTTTCCCATTTCAGACCACATATCATTTTCTTGAGAATATTATTTTTGTTTGTATTGTATCCATATTTATGCCTTCTCGTGCGCAACTGTTAAATAAAGAGATGATACTCTAGGGAATGAAATGTAAGGGGAAAAGGAGATCCATTATCCATCACAAGTTGGACTCCCTTGTCTGAGCTGGAGAGCTCTTTTCACGAGCTGCGCATGCTCGTTGATTCTTCTTGATCTAGATTTTGATGCGTTGGTTCCATCAATCGAATCTGATGAGCATCTGCTTGGTGGTGGGCTGGTATTGGCTTTAGATGGATGTTTTGGCGTCCTRAAACAGGAAAAACTGAGTTAAGGCTCCGACGCACGCTGCTACTGTTATTTAGCAATTACTATGAGGAWAATTGTCTTAYTCAAATYCAACTAGTCGGTCAAATATATATATGCAAACAAGTTTTGAATTAMATTTAAATTTAATGTTTTGATTCTCAAAGCCGGCACCTTTTGCTACTACAGTAGTAGGATATAACTTATAGCCTAGTAGTAGCTCATCCAATCAGAACGCAGCAATGATGATACCTGTAGTCCGCTAGTTGGATTTGACTAAACACAACTATTAAGGCCCGGAAACGCGGTGCAACATTGGGCGCAAAATTGCAGGCAATGTTGCTGAAATACGGGATGCAAGCGACAAATTACGTCGTGTGACATGGCACTTGCAACATAGATTACGGGTAACATTGCGCGCCAATGTTCCGGCTTGGATGACCACTTTACTTACTCGTTGTTGCTGTCCTCATTGTCGTCTGCCTGCAGAGACAAGGCCAAGTATAGATCTTGCGTACTTGGGGTTTCTACGGGACCCTCCCTCGGTACATGAATCGACTTTTTTTCTCGGTTTTCTCTCGGTGCGGGWGAAAACATTGGAGTGCTGTACTGTAGTCTTGGTGGACTGTTTTGGCCATCAGGAGCTAAAAGGAAAATTAAAGAATAAATGCATAAACGAATGAACAAATAATGCTAAGAGCAATGGGTAGAAACACGTTAGTTATTTAAATTGGTCGCCATATTTTGATACGGTGTATAGACAAGTCAGAGTACGTCGATTGACATCCTAATACTTTGGACAGACAGACCGATGAGTAGGTTGTGGGTGGACTGATGGAATGGATGGAAGAAGTTTAGATGGATGCATGATAAAAAGACATTTATATTTTAATAAGAAARATATATAAAACGAAACAAGATTCTGATTTACTCACATCGTAGCTTTTTATAAACCGAAGGAAGTTTTCTTTGAGGCGTAATCAATAGCTGTTGCTTGATGAAGTTTGACCTTTCGTCTTCGAATTTCTTTCTCTATTTACAAACAAAATATAAAGAGCTTGTCAATATAGGGACGGCGGAACAGTTTTTTAAGTGGGGGCCTGCAGTCCTCGCCTACCCTCCCTATCCAATACACCCAAAAATTAGACAAAATAAAAATGTAATTCTCGCAAAAAGTGGGAGGCTAAAAAACTTTTAATCGAGGAAGATCTAACAAACTCTATCCACTCATGTGATGTTGAGTACGGGAATCGAACGTGAGGACTCAAAAGGGAGAGGAGAGTGAGTTATCCGTGCTACACCACTCTTGATTCCCCAACTGACTCAATACCATCATAAAGAATACAAATGCTATCTAAATAATAGTAGTTCCAACCTCGTATSCTAACTTGGCGGCAGATTCTGTGAAATTTCTTCGTTCATCTTCAAATGTTCTTTTCTGTTCATTGAACATCACTTTTTCTTGTTTCAGTCGCTCCCATTCTTCACACATTCTAGAATCACTCTGAAGGATAAAAAAAAAACGCGTTCAGTTTTAGGGAGTGAGGAAGGAGGAGGAAAGGAGAGGTGGAAGAGAGAAATGAAAAAATGGAAGGAAGGAAGGAAGGAAGGAAGGAAGGAAGGAAAGAAGGAATGAGAAAGGGGAGGAAGGAAAAAAAGAAAAATAAAGCAAGAAGTCTGACTTTAAAAAGAAATAAAGAATCGGCTGAAGAAAGGAGAGAAAGGGAACAAAAGATGAATAAAGGGAGGGAAGGATGGAAATAWAGGTTGAAATGGGAAAGTAATACAAAAAAATGAAAGAAACGAAAGCGCATGACATACGAGGAACGAAGAATCAGCTTGAGCATTTCCTTCACTTTCTTTGACCTGAAAYGACTGGAAACATAACACTCACAAGTAAAAATACATCATAAAAATCCACAGATTACGTGACAAAAACAAAATCAAGATGCTGATTCAAAAATCCTTCTATAATATCTCCTCCTGTGTTGAATCTTTGAACCTTGAACTCTTTTCTGGAAATTCCAGGAAAGTACTATATCCCCCCCTCCCCTCCCCCACATAAATGTTTCCCCATTTCAGGCCAGGTGTCATTCCCTTGAAAATAAGATTCTTTATTTGAGTTGCATCCATATTGATGTGTCTTCTCATTTCTCATGTGCAACCGAGCACAACTGTTAAACAAAGAAATGATACTCTAGGGAATGACACATGATCTGAAATGGGAAAACATTATGTCTGAGTTGAGGAGGTCTATTTCACTGATTTTGCCCATTTGGCGGAAGTTTGGAAGTCTATTTTATACCTTTATACAGTTGCTTTCAAATTTTGGGCAACTTGCACAGCTCAAACATCAATATTTAACAAACCTCTATCAGAGCTTCTTGTTGTTCAACAATGTGTYGATAATTATCCAGTTGTTTTTTCAACTTTTCTACTTCTTCGGTCAWTGCAGCTTTTTCTTCATTGTCTTGTGGTGAACTTGAAGAAGATCCTTTGTTTGCTTGCTCAAGTCGGGACTTTAACACCCTCCATTTTTCTCTCAAACTCTTTTCGATTCCTGTTATTATTATCAATGAAAGGAGGTCCTTTTGAATGTGAAATTAATTATCGCTGTCAATATAATCAGCAAAAATGTGCTTGTTGTTCACTATTAGCTTCTTACAGACATCCTTAGCGTGATGTTGTGACGACCCAAGAATATCTTCATAGGGGGATACGTCACCACCAGCTAAAGGCATTATCATATCCACTATTGCTATTGCTGTCACTACTATAACTGCCATCATCGCCATCATAACTATCATCATCATCATCGTTATCATCTATCAACATCATCACCATCATCATCATCCTTCTTCATCATCATCACCATCATCATCATAATTCATCATCATCCCCACCATCATCATCACCCCCACCACCATCATCATCATCATAACCATCATCATCATCATCATAATCATCATCATCATCATCATCGTCATCCCCATCACCATTATAAACCAAGGACATCATTATTAAATTATCATTTCTTAGTCATTATTAACGAATCTTGGCAATAAGGAAGGGATAAGAATTGTTAGTTTAAAACTTAAATTCCTATTGAAATAGATTTCTGGATCAGTGACAATAACTGCAACTACAGTGAATCAAATGTATGATAGACATATTACCTTCTCTGACCAGTTCATATGGCATATTGAAGTGTCCTGCAGGAAGACTTCGGACAGACAGACCAGAACATTCATCATCACTTGTACAGCCCTGTTAATGAGAATGTAAATGAATATCATAATATATTATTATAAAACTATGGCAAAATAGATGGAAACTCTCCCATGGGAAAAACCAAGCAGTGTTAACTAGTAAACAATGGAAGTGTATTGCAAAAACTTTATCTGTAAAAAGATACTAAACTTATTTTGAGATGATGATCACTATTTATTAATGATCGAAATATCCAGTAAAATGACAATCAAAGTGTGTTGGCTTCTCATCATCAATTTTATAATAAAATGAAATGTCTAAATAAATATTTTCTAACTTTGTCGTTTTTTAATTCAATTGTTTCTTCAGTATTATTTTACCATTATAGTAAAAACAGTAACAATAATAATATTTGTTGTGAAATGTGATCGTCCAGGTTAGTGTAGAACTTGAGAAAGACTGTTGATGGTGGTGACTGACGTTTCAACAACGTGAGAAGAAGTCATCTTTAGAGTCCAGTGAGAAAACGAGAGATAATAATAATAATCATAGAGGAGGGTGGTTAATTTGGCAGCTTAAATTAATGTGGGCACTCACACTTACACTCTACGCTACCAATCTACATTTACTATTTTATGCACACAGAACTCAACTATCACGTTGTTTTTTAATAGTCGCTTTCTGATATAATTTATCTCCAAAAAAAATGCCTGCCTTGAGTAGTATACACTTTTTTCTATCTTCACTAGCCCTGGATTTTAATATATTATTAGAATTTATTTTTTGATCATTATTATCATTAATACCTCAGAATCACTGTCGTATCCAGTGGACTTCTGGTTTAATGCACCAATGAGTTCTGCTTGCATGTCCAGCAGGGAATCCCGCAGATCATTGTTCTCTTTAATTAATTCCTATCAAATAGTGCACGGTAGGTGTTATTCACTAACCAAATCCATGATACTATTCAATGAACATGCGACAATGAGCAAATAATAAGAAACAATAAGAACTTAGTCACTGTAGAAGAAAAAGACAAAATATAGCTCTGGTAATTGGTCAATTGCCAGCTATATTTTGTCTCTTTCTTCACCATATGATAATATCGGCACATGAAGCAAAAACAATCTTGTAGTAATAGTAGTGAAAGTATAATAAGCTGTCTGATATTTTGTCTACAATTATAAATGTATATTTATTTATGAATGAAGCCCTGATGGGAAAGAACTGAGCTTGTAAACCAAGGAATATAATTTTACAGCTGCATATCTTATGCCAAAATGATTGATATGATTCTACGGAGGCCATGAAAAGAGCCAGAAATTTTCACAAATAAAAAATTCTTTCTTGCCGCTTAAAAAATGACATCATAATTTGTGGAACTTACTTCAAAATGATTCTTATCACTAAAGGAAATTTACAATCTCTGCAATAGCGTACCTTTTGTCTTGCTTCATAATTTGTTACTAGTAATCTATACATTTCTTCTTCGCTTCTGAAAGTTAATCATCATTATCATCAAACTAGATTGAAAAATTTATGATCTGTAATTTTATAATAAAATAATTAAACTCCGGATCATCTACATTAATGTGTAGATGAATAAAAGAGAATAGGATAAATGGGATGGATAGATTTAAGTATCCATGATTTGGTGAATTTTTGGATAGATGGATGAGAAGGTAGAATAGATGGGATCCATGGATGGAAGAATAGGATGGATGGCTGGGATGAGTGGAAAGATGGGATGGATGGCAAATGAGACATATGTACCTATTTCCCGTGTTCCACATTGCTCTTTTTCCATCAGCTCTTTGGATAGAATTAAGAATCTCCATTCCTATTCTCTTTTCTTGGCTTTTATCAGTGAGCATCTTGAAAATAAACAGAATTTGTTTACACTTCAAAAACAACATTCTACACATATAATATTAACAACCAGCACATTTCAGCACTTTTCATAATTCTAGCAACTCAAGAGATCTGGCATTTAGGCTTCTGTCAATCAAACTCACAACTTGTATATCTCATTTCGATCTGCACGAAGCATAATAAAATTCCCATTCAAACGAATCAGAGACAACCATTCCCGTGCCTTTAAATGTACAGTCAAACTTTTAAAACATTCAAGGAAACCTCTTTCAATTATTATTATGTTTTATTTTGATCTTGAGAGTTTCATGAAGTGCTCTTGGCACTTTGTAGCCATGTTTACCACAAAATTTGAAAATAGCTGTTGAGTCACAGGAAGTTCTTTATCAGTTGTTTACAATCTGAAGGAACTCAGCCTGTAGTTGAGTTTGAATGGCGGAACCCAAAATACCAGAATTATCTGGAGTTAGTAGGTGGCAAAATAATGAAAAGCACTGTAATCAGCACAAAATGCTCTTACCATTAGGTGATACTTTGCTAATCTTAAAACACACTATTAAATGTTGGTCAAAAACGGCAGCCAGCCCAAAAATAAAATTAAAATCATACAAAAATAGTTAATGTAGCTATTGGACCTCTACTTACCTGATGCACTCTTTCTTTTAGTCGCACAACTTCTTTTTCTTTTTTCTTATTTTCATGGCTTATCTGGTTATGAAACTGCTGAAAATTCGACTTAAGCCTTTTGACCTAATGTGATTTAAAACATTAATTAAAATTAAAATATTTATCATATTAAACTACTGTATTCTCTTGTAAAATAAATAATTAAATGTAAAACCAGGTTCTCTGATTTTCCTCCATTCTAAAAACCCAACTCAAATAAATTCCAATCCTTAAATTACATGAGATTTCTGCRACACTTTAATTTCGTGATTTTCACATTTTTTTTCAAAATCAAGGGATTAGAGTGACTTGAAAAATAAGTGTTGCCAAAATAAAATGTTGTATATTATTATTATATATTATTCTTATTATGCGTAAAACCTACCTCATCTTTTTCATTTTTCAGTTGTTCTTTTGTCTTTGTAATCTTACTTTTCAGTTGTCTTTCTCTTTCATTGGACATGGCCACCTCTCTTTCAAGGCTTTCAACTTGTGCCTATAGATAGTTGTTGACGGAAATATATCTAAAATCTTTATACTATTAAAGGGTAAGTCATTGGTTAGCATGCTTCTGCATCCCATAGGCTGATAAAAGCACAAACGAAGCCTGTTTAATAGTCGCAAGAGGAATAGCCGAGCGCAACTCTAGCTTCTTGAGTGCTTAAGCGTGCCCAATGGAAGCATGCTAATCAATGACCAATGCTTTTATAACATAGCAAAAGCATTAAAGAAATCTTTGCTAATCAAGAATAATTTTTTTTWAAATCTTTATTACATAGCACGCGCTACTCAATGAATAAGAGTGCTGCCTCCCAATGCATTATATTGTGGCCATATCATAGACCGATGTGCACCGATGTGAGGCTTAAGTTGTGAACAAAGGGATCTGGCGTGACTCAAAGTAATCTGGCGTGATTCAAAAGTCACGAATCACGCCAGATTCCTTTGTTYGCAACTTAAGCCTCACATCGGTGCTCCTGTGACCACATAACTTCTGGCTAGTATAGCAAGTTTTCATCTTCATTGAATTTTAATGACGATGGTCTGAGATTTGTTTGCTGAATGTTAAATCCAGAAACCAAGACATTGGGAACTTTTTGAAAAAAACATGAGCTCAACTAATAACAGATTGTAAAATTTACCTTTAATCTATTTTGATTTTGTATCAGAAATTCATTATCACATTCTGATCTGAGATTTCTGGTTAAAAAAGAAACAATTCAAAGAAGATTAATAATAATTATTATTTTAAATATTATTTTACGTGATGAAAATGCCTTTGTTTTTGATACCATAAATGRGAAATACTATAACCACAGAATAAAAAATATAGGTTTTAAAGAAAAAAAATTTTCCTTCTCTTTCAAGCTTCCAGTAATATTGTTCTTAGACATTTTCTAGGAAATAATCTAAAATACGGAAGTTTTGATTCAACAACTTCCTTCTCTTTCAAGCTTCCAGTAATATTGTTCTTAGACATTTTCTTTAATTTACAAATATGCTTCTTCAATCAAGATTACTTAAAAATCTTTGACCTCTGTACAGCTTCGCCCCATAGTCACGATAGGTACATGTACATCAATTGTTGATAATATGATTTTGTTTTTAATATTGTGTGCAAACCTAAAGTTGCTATGGAAATCATAAGCAAAACAACTTCAATAACAACTCACCTCTCTTCCAATGATGTTCTGACTTTGGAGTTCTGTTGTTGAAGCTGTAACAGTTCATAAGTACAATTTATGAGCCTGACAATGTCAAATGTGTCAGAAAGCTCTTTACCATTTCGAGAGGGAGTAAAGAGTGGATTGAAACCAAGGATGCAGAATTCCTAAAAACAGAAACAAAAAATATACTTAAATAAATATATTAATATATGTAAATATATTATATCCACTTGCATCTAGTTCATAGTATATTGTAACGTAAAACCTTTAGATTAATTTAATATCAAATGGCAATTGGTCTTAATTTTATATAATAGTTTTGATAACATGCGTGGGATCATTTTCACAAGTTTGCACATACTGTTATTCATCTTGAGAAATTTTACAGAAATTTCAAAAAAAAAAAAAAAGCATCACATCTTAATGGCTACAATATATTTTAATATGAGTACTGTAATTGTTCTCAACAATGTTATAGCAGATGTTTGCCCTATACTAAAAATATTTACATGCCGAATTTAAATAGCTCATTGATGTGTGGTAAATAATAAACTCAAATTCATTAAAACAAATTTATTCAAAAACTCCTCATTGAAATAAGCGTTGAAACAGTCTAGCACGCTGTGGACATGTTGATAATAAAAAAAAAATTAATGTGTCTGGCGCCCTTAATTTTTGATACTTAATAATAAATATAAAGTTAATGTGTGCTAGATTCTGGTTAAAATTTTAGAAAAAATGGAAAGATAAATTTAAAAAGGAATATATTTTGGCATATCGATCTCATGTAGCTCTGAAAGCAAAAATGTTTTGTCTAGGAAAGTGAATATTTAGAACGAAAGAGTTAAAGGAAAGAAAAGTTATCCTTAGGGTAAGATGAGATAAAACCTAATAAGAATAATAAATTGGAGCGCAAACATGACGTTTTAAATCATAAACAAATGTTCTTGGTAAACAGGACCTCGATGCTTTCCATTTTAGCAAAGACATTCGTTTGACACTCACATGAAAGAAGGATTATCAAATTAGTAGATATATTTTACCCGTAATTTTTAGATTTTTTCTTACTTGATTCAAATATGCAAGACATTGGTCGACATTATCTCGTCTGCAAAACTGCTTCTCCGAGCTGTTGTTAAGCATCGCGAACAACGGTGAACCAAACTGCAGTCCATCTTGATCTGAGCTTTTATCTGGGCTTGAATGCCGCGAAGAATGCGATGTATAACGAGTTAGAAAGTCTGTGTTTCCATGTTCATCGAAATTCATGTTCGGATAAGCGAGGGACGAAAGAGAAAAATTCGCTTAACCATCGATGAAAACACTGTGCCTTTTCTTCACCAAGGTATTATACGATCGGGGTAATTATGATTATATCACTCAATTGGATACTGGACTTTGAAATCAGAGTCTTAAAACTTCGATATTACCACCAGACCACAAGCAATCGTTGAATTATTGAGGGRGTTATTTTTCTGTAGTTCTTGGAGACGTTTATTCCGTGCGAGCATGTCACCTTGCATTGAATGGTATACCGCTGATTCGATTTTAAATTCAAGAAAAAATAAATAAAAGCTTATTAATTTTATCCCTAAGTTACAGCTTTTGTTCATGATTTTGATAAATTTTTACTGAATAATTATGTAAGGAGAAATTTTAAGTTCAAAAAGGACAAATTTGAATTGATTTTTTAGTTATTAAAAAAGCGCGCCAAAATGTAGATTACGCGAGGGGCCTGGGAACGATTATCGCTTCAAAAAAACTAAAACTAAATCTGAAATTTTTCTTTCAATTTTCGCTTCCAAAAAATGAAAATAGGAATACAGCCTGGAATTTTCAATGCTGGAACGTAAAATATATTGTGTGTGTAGGGGAGGGTAATGGGAGCGGTAGGGGAGGGGGAGGGGGAGGGCCAGGAAGGGGGAACAACTACGAAACGACTGTGACTCTATGCATACAAGTCGCACTGGCCAAATCAGACGTCCTAATTTGTTAAATACCCAGTTGTTTGAATACAGACCCAATTGCACTCCACTCAGTCCACTCAGTCCAATAAAGTACAACTATTAACCAACGACAAAATAAAGCTATGCACCCAGTATCTTTATTCAGTTAGCATTGATATATTTTGCATCTTATATTTAGAATGTCTTTTTTTATGATGCTTGGCCTTGGCCGACGTTTAGAGAGCTGAAATAAATAGAAAATATAACACCCAATTAAATTGGATTTAATGTGGAAGGGGGGTGGGTATTGATTTTAAATGATTATAATAGTTATTCGTTATGGCTATATCGAATGAATTAGCATTTATTGAAGAACAATATCATTCATACATTAATAAACTTTATATTTTTATGTGATATTTAAATCTTCAAATCTTATAACCTTTACATTTTTTCAAGTTACACTGTAATTATTGTCCAGTTTTGCAAACTTCGTTGCACTTTCTCAGTTCCGGTTTAGGTTTCGTTGTTTTGCATTGGCTATCCGGGACTTTAATGCTCCTGACCACGTGACGACAAGTGATGGTTGGTCGAACAACCTTACCTAAACGTGAAAAAATAAATAAAGTTAAAATGTGATGAAAACCAAAATCAAAGAAAAAGAACGAGGAAGAAAGTTGCCTGCGTCAAATCCGGGGTTTTAGTTTACGAAGAAAATTCCGCATGCAACGCAGGCTTAAAGAAAGGAACTAACAAAGAAAGAATGAATAGATGAATGGATACAAAAAAGGATGGGTGAATGGGTGGGGTGGGCGGGCGGATGGGTGCATGGATGGGTGCATAAATGAATGGGTCGATGGATGGGTCGATGAAGGGATGGACCGATGAAAACGGAAGATTGAAGAAAGGAAGTGGCGTCATTGCAAGGGCATGCTAAATACACAAATAAATGAATTTGTCTGTCTTTGGGTTGCTAAGGCAATCTAATACAGAATTAAGGGCGCCCGTTATTATAATATGGCTTTTCTATATYCCAAAAGAAGTAGCCGAAAAGGACCACGTTATAGAAATCCCAAATACCATTTTCTAAAGATTTCCAGCCCTAAATTGCTAGCATAGCACACTTACGAGAGAACGCATACACATAGTTTGCTCCACTTGTCCCCACACCTTCCCAGCATCCTCCACTGGGGCCATCTATGTCATAGCTTTTGTGTCCTAGCGGTCCTGACCAGCATTCACCATAATACTGCAACCCAAACACAGGAAGTCCATTTCTCCAAGCATCTTCCGAACATTCCTCGATAGTCTTGGAGATATCCTTCCAATCAATGTGGTCTCTAAGGTTGTCCAAAAGCTTGGGTAGCGGGCGCTTTGCTTTGATGTGTTTGTCCTTAAAGCAGCCAATGCGAATGTAGTCTTTTTCTTGAACTAAAATTATAATTATAAATCAAATCTTTAGGTTAATATTTATTTCGATAATAATAAAATATCAAATATCAATGTAAAAAAAAGGAAAGAAACAGAAGAAAAGAAAACAGAAGCGTAACGATAGTAGTCTTAGAACTGGGTCACATGGGGTACGAGCGCGTGCGTTTCCGCGCAAAATTTTCCCGCCAAATTCATAGAAACTCCTCTCAAAATAAGACATCTATAAAGAGCCATGTAGTCGATCGACAGAGATTTTCTATTATCCAATTTTCATCGAAAGGAAAACGAGAATCGAAACTGAAATTCTAGTCGGTGAGCATTTTTATCTTAAAAAATCACGAGCAACAATCAAAATTCAAAAAAAAAAAAAAAAAAAAAAGAACAACATCTATTCCATTTGCTTGCAATAAAGGAGGTTCCCTTAACTGTGTCCCAGGCTCTCTCGGTCGTGTAGGATAACCGAGACCTACCACCGAGGAGCACTGGAGCGGACCAGCATCTGACACCCAGGGTAAAGGTTTTCAGCTAAGCAGGTCGAACTTACCGATGTTATAAACATCGTTGGCCCACGGTCCCCCGCGATTATTCTGACATAGTGTAGACGTCCCATGCTTGTCATAGGTATCATTTCCAGTTCGCGAAGTCCAGCATTCAACTGCATTTTGAACGCCAAATATCTTATAGCCTTTTCTTTTGGCTAATTCGTAGCAGTTGGTGATCACATCACCTTGTAGATATGCCGATAGTAACGTTGGGAGGGCTCTTGTACTCTTGTCGCCATAGCAACCAACGTGGTAGTACCCTTTAGTCGCTGGTTAGAAAATTAACATAAGATACGATTTCGATCGTTAATCCACAGGGTTTAGAAGATATTAACGCTTGTGCGCTAGTTGCTTCTTTCGTTTGCTCTCTGGTAGCGCAAAATCCTAACACAAACTATAGTGAATATCATTTTTTAGTATAGGAAATCGCACGATCTCGTTTACAATTCGGAATTTATAAGTACGAGTGATGTTTTGAAAGTTTTCAAAATCAGTGGACGAGCCTTTAGTGAGCCCAATACGAGTATCTATATTATTCTGAATTGTATGAGAAGGTCTTGCAATGTTTTGTTTATAATACACCAACAAAATTATGTAACTTAATTGGGACTCTGAAGAGTACAATTTAGGATTTAATTGCACTCCTCTTGTCCAATCAGAATCGATTATTATTGTTGAGCGTAATATAAATGCTTTTATGCCGCCCTCTGGAATTTCGAGCGCGCGCAAAATATACTCGGGACACTGAATATATTTAACGGGAAAATATGCACGCGCAAACTAGTGACTTTCCTCTCAGCCCTGTGGTTAATCATTGCTCTTCAGGTCCGTCTTACAGCACTGACTGCCAGGCTGGTTAACAGGACAACTTGCTGAGAGAATGACTCTAAGTAACTAAGCTAGCGTCTTGACATTTTTCTATCTATCTATCTTTCTGTCCATCTTTCTGTTTTACTCTTGTCTGAGTTACGTAAACAGTTACGTAATAAAATTTTGGTCGAATTTCTTACCCGTGCACACTTTACAAGAGTATTTGATATCCCAAACATGACAATCCATGGTGTTGCAATCTTTTCTTTCAGCTGGTTTCAAGCCAATCTCTTTCAAACACTTTACATCGTTCAGGCTGACAATGGAAGAGTTGAGCAATGTTTGTTCACATGTTACTGTGCGGTTTGTTGTGCCTCCTCCACATTCAGCAGAGCACTGATAGAAAAGAAGTATAATTCATGTGTAAACTGTATTAGTAGTAGTAGTAGTAGTAGTAGTAGTAGTAGTAGTAGTAGTAGTAGTAGTAGTAGTAGTAGTAGTAGTAGTAGTAGTAGTAGTAGTAGTAGNTAGTAGTAGTAGTAGTAGTAGTAGTAGTAGTATAGTGTAATGTTCATTACTTATATTGCGCAAATTCCATGCACTATTGATCAAATGCGTTTCGAGAAACATTGGTCAGTTTCAACGATTCATCTTATTAAACCACACATTCAAACACGTCATGATAACCCCAACATTTCCCATCATACCTTACTCCATTGACCTTTCTTCCAGTAGGGTGGACATTGGTGGGTATTACACGGCTTGACTGAACTGGGTTGTGGCTGGTGACAAGAAGAGTCTGGCAAAATTACGTAAGTGTCCTGAGCAACCTTCTGTTGGCATTGCACTGAGCGTCTCTCCTGACCACCAGCGCAGCTTTTGGAACACATCATCCAGTCACCAACCTTCCATCTGCCAAAAAATAACCCGAGGGACTCGTAACGAGTTTTATTTTCATAGGCCATACGCAATAAAAAGGGCTTTGCACCATCACGTGACGGCAGCCATGTTAGATGGCAGGAACAATACAATCGCTTTACATGAGAAGGAATTCAATTCCCAAGAGCAAAGGGATTTTATTGTTATGCCACCTAGCCACAGGCAGTCCAAGCTGTATTATGGGCGTCAGCACGTGTTTGGGTAAAACCTCTATACTGTCTAGATATATACAAGCTGAAATCATAATAGACTCAAGGCCAAACAATAACAATGGGAACTAGAGGATGATTATTATTACGGCTCAATAATTTGTGGTGGCAGAAGTGAGAGAAAATGTTAAGACAGACACCTAAGTCCAAAATGGCGCACGGCCGATAGTGTTACATTCAGGGCCAAATGCAAAGAAATAATATGGTGTMAATGCAAAGTATAAACTTGTTCATTTGTTCTGTCTTTCTTTTCTTCTTACATTCAGAAACACRACAATTTTGCAGCATCAATTTATAAGAAAATACTGTAAATTTGTAAATTTGGCCCTGGATGCCTCGTTTTCAATCGGCGTGCGCCATTTTGAATTTAGGTGTATGACGTCATAGAGTACAAAGATACTTACACAGGAGCACATGGGTGGGTGTTGCATGACTCGCGTGACGGGGGYTTCGTGTTCTGATCGCAGAATCGGATTCCTACTGCAGTGCCGTCGTCTTGTCGATGACATGTAATGATATGTTTTTTTTCACCTGGGATAGGGAAAGAGGGAATGAAGCAATGAAAGAAAGAAGGAAGGAAGAGAGGAAAGGAGGAAGGAAAAATGGAGGAATAAATGAATAAATGAATAAAAGGACTCGGGAAGCAAGCAAGCAAGCAAGCAAGCAAGCAAGCAAGCAAACAAACAAAAAGAGAGAGGCATGGATGGAGTCATGAAAGAGAGAGAGAGAGAGACAGACAGACAGACAGACAGACAGACAGACAGACAGACAGACAGACAGAGAGAAAGACAGAGAGACAGAGAGAGAAGGGATGTTGCATGAATCTGAAGGATGTTTTTGCGCATTTGATCAGGAATCAAACTTTCCATAGAGAAATGTTGTGAACGTCGACAATTGACAACCTTGGATGATACGGTGTACATAAATATCTTACCTCCCGCACAATCAGCGCTGCATTTGTTTCCTCGTGAAACTTTCCACACGTACTGTGTCTTGCGTCCTTTTCCAGGAACGACGTAAATGCAAGAAATCCCTGGATTTGGGGTTTTGCCACCATAAATGAACTACGTAACAAACAAAAAAAGGACTTGCAATAAACATTATTTTGATATTTTATTCCTTTTATTTAACTTAAAATAAAAAAGCGAACGTTTGGGCAAGTAACATTTTAAATATAGTATTACCATAGCATAGAGTGGCTGTGTGGTGGGTCCCTGTATATGAATCCACTCTTCGCTCGTGTAGTCAGTCATGTAGTGCTTGATTACAGTTCCTGCTGCGTTGATGGTGGTTGTAAGGCTAGGGACTCTAAACAAGAATGGGCTGGATGGAGCAGGATCGAGCTTGAGACCTGAATCAATGATGGTTTTATTAAAACTTTACTTTTGATTTTGATTTTAGTTGAGCTAGTGTAAATACTTTTCTCAGCCTGAGAAAATTGAGGGTCCATTACCGGCCTTTCACCACCTGAAAATTGTGTGACTAGTCCCGACCCTCTATACCTTAAATTGTGTCCAGTCCCGACCCCTCCCCACCTGAAACTTTTGCATCTAGTCCCGACCCCTCCCCACCTGAAACTTTTTTGTCCTGTCCCGACCTCCAACAAACTACTTTATCATGCAAAGTGCCCCTAAGAGTCGACAATTGCCCTATTTCATTATGACGTCACGTCACTGCTTGTTTATGTGGGAGATAGAATCGCCAAATCCAATAGAAAATTCAACAAAATTTGCTCCTAGCGAAACAGTTTAATCTAAAATGGCCTGGTCTTCAAAATATTCTGAGCGTTTGCTGGCTATTCTACTTCTCTTCGTTGGTTGATACAGGTCTTAGGACAATTGTGGGTGAATCTGCGTTGATTTGACCCCGTCCGACGACCATGATCCTTTGCGTTTAAACAATAGATTGTTTTGATGTGACGTCATAGTGAAATAGTGCAATTAAGAAACAACGCTAACATGGAAATACAAAAGAAATGCGACAAACTCTAGAAAGAAAAAGTGTGATTTCTTTTGTATTTTCATATTAGTCTCGCATCCAAGTTATTCTTTTCGAGAAGGGATTATCATTTTATGTACACGATTTTTGTACAATATATTTAATTTCTTACTTATAAAATTTAAAGTGTTTCTAAGTTCTTTTATCATGACTTCCTTTGCTCCAACAGGGATAGTGAACATTACATCTGGTTTTTTACGTCCTGAAGAGAGAAAAAGTGAGCCATTTAAGGAATAGAAGAAAGGAAAAACGATTTCCTTAATACGAGGCCCTTTTACACAAGCAGATGATGGCCATTGCAGCGATTCGAGGTTTTTTTTTTGTTTTTTTTTTGCGATTTTGGTCATAGTAATGAATGTAAAGCATTAACTCGTGCAGTTTTATTCCAAACTCCAAGATTACCTGGACAAGACAAGCATTATAGACAAATTCATTATGTTTCCAAAAATCGCCGCAAAAACTCGCACCTCATATCTGCGCCACCACAAAAATTACCCTTAACTTGGCCTTTTAAAATTTGAGAATAAACAACATACCATATACAGTGTAGTTTTTAGTGTATTTTAGAGAGATTCTTCTACAACTATTCCCATCACCGGCACACTTTTTACATCTATCGTAAGGGTTTTCTGATTCCAGAACATTGTCACAGCCAACTCTCTGGAAACAAATAGAAAATATATTTCTTGTCACGTGAGGTATTCTCGTCCGATGAAAAAACAAGTATGGCTAGAGGTGGGGTGGGGTGGGGTTTTGTAGGGTAAAAACCATTACTTACACGACACTGTCCTCTTATGCAAACGTCTTTGTTATCTTTGTTTGGGTTGCATGGGGTACCATCAGTAACATAACCATGTCCTCTGGCGAATTGTCCATGTATACAATACAGCACACATGGAGAGGGAGCTATTGGATAATAAAAACATATGACAGTTAAATTTATCAAAGTCCAGTAGATATATGTAACTGTTTCAGAGGAGAGGATTGAGTTGCTAGCCAGCCAGGCATCGAACCAAAGACCACAGAAGTGCCGTGAGGCAATTGAGCTACCGCTACAGTATTTTATTTATTCCATGAATCGATCCTTCAAATTTTATCGGTTCATTCCCTGAAACAACCTCTGGGCTGATCAGAGTCAGAGTATGGCGAACTCACAGATCTAACCCTGAAACAACCTCTGGGCTGATCTAAGTCAGGGCATGGCTAACTCACAGATCGAACCCTGAACCAACCTCTGGGCTGATCTAAGTCAAGGCATGGCTAACAAACAGATCGAACCCTGAAACAACCCCTGGGCTGATCTAAGTCAGGGCACAGCTAACTCGCAGATCAAACCCTCAAACAACCTCTGGGCTGATCAAAGTCAGGAAATGACTAACTCACCGATCGAACCCTGAAACAACCTCTGGGCTGATCATAGTCAGCAAACGACAGATGGGATTCGAATGTTACGAGTTTTGACCTACTTAGTTTTGCGGAGGGAGGAAATCCGGCCAAAGACCCCAGAGGTGAGAGTTGAGTGCCTTCCCGCCACACCACCATCGATTSCCCCGCAAAGCGGAAAGGTCACAATTAATTCATTGTGCATGAGGTGAGGTGAATGTCTAGTCAGTTAGAAACGCAATATTTTGAGGATCGCTTACAATGATAATAGGAATGCTTCCTTCCTTTTTTTATACATTGCTCTTTTCTTGGGTCACTTGGGGTTGGGCACTCCTGTAAAAAAAAAAAAAGAAGGAAAAACATTGCTATCATTAATTAAGTAATAAAATGACTTTGGACACCCTATTTTTCTTTACATGTTTTGGAATCAGTGTTAAATTCTGCATAAAATAGCTTTCTAAGAAAGTTTTCTAATCACTTTCTGCTAAACGAGTCAGTCACCTTTAATTACTTTACCTGGGGATTGCATATTTCTTCTTCGCCCTTGTCTTGACCAACACAAGGTTTGCCAAAATACTGAGGACTGATAAAATGAAGAGAATCATCATATAAACCAATGAATGAACGAAACAGACGAACTAAAAGTGCATGGTCTAACAGTTATATGACTGAATAATATGGATAGACGGACGGACGGACGGACGGATGGATGGATGGATGGATGGATGGATGGATATAAACGATTTACCTTGGATTGTTGCAATATCTCACTCGATAGCGTACCCCACCACCACAAGGTCTTGTGCAGGGAGTAAAGTGCTGCCAGTCGCTCCAGTGACCATCGACAGATGGTGGAAGACCATTACCAACAGCAACACACTTACCACGCATGCACCACTAGACACAGATAGATACAGAATATTTAGATTGTAAAATAGACTCTACCATTTCGGCATGGGCGTAATGTTGTCCCATTACAGAACACGTGTCATTCTCTAGAGTATCATTTCTTTGTTTAACGCGGGTTGCACATGAGAAGACACATGAATATGGATATAATGTCTTCCCATTTCAGACCACGTGTCATTCCCTAGAGTATCATTTTTTGTTTAATCGTTGCACATAAAAAGACACATGAATATGGATACACAACTCAAACAATTATTACCTTTCTTTTCCCACACGGTGTGCCATCGAGAGGCGGGGAAGAATGGCTGAAACAGTAAGAGCCTTTGAGACAGAAAAGAAGACCACAATTTTCCTAGAAAAGTAAATTGATTTTGCTAAGACGCGAATCTTATCCTGAAATGCTGGAATGCAAAAATAAGCGTGGGCAAAAATCTGCAATATTTTTGGACGATAACAAAGCTTTCCTTATTAGCTTCTCTCGTTAGATCAACCAACATGGCGGCTGTTTCATTGTTATTCATATCTCAAGGGATTTTGAGTCATTTGGTTGCACTTCAAGAATAGATATTCCATTGAAGTTTAAATTATTTTTAAGAAGTACAACAAATTACCTAAATAACGATAATAATATTAATTTGAAAGTTACGATCTGCACTAATTTTTGTACCATAAAGAAGCCTGGTTACTTTTCAAGATGGCGTCACTATGAATCAACGTAGCATGCATTTTGGATCCCCTTACCTTCATAACGGGGCAACTTGAGACTTATGGATCAAATACCATCTTGCTCTGTTACTGAATACATTAAATCTACTGCCTGCTTCATAGGCTCTCCCTCCGTGAAATGTGGGTCCCCTTACCTTCATAACGGGGCAACTTGAGACAGATGAGTCAAATACCATCTTGCACTGTTTATCCATATCGTATAGATATCCAGGAGGGTACTTGGGCATCGGTACTCTAATCGCTGGCATGTCATCATAACACTTTGTTCGACTAGTAAAGCGGTAATGAAATTGACGCATTAATATGGTAATAAACAAGTGAACTATGCAAATAGACCCCTTGCCTAGTGACGTCAAAGCAGCTCAATTTGGAGGACAAAACAAAAGAATTTCAATCTCCTGAGAAGTAGAAACCTATTGTTATGACCTCCAAATTGAGCTTCATTCCGACGTGCTGCAGGGTGTGTAGTTGGGGCATATTATGAGTCAATGAGCAGGGCATGTGTACGTTACCTCATGATGGCGCGAAGATCTCTAGCGCTACAATGTGACCATTTGAAAGCATTGGGTCCATGGGGTTTACCTGCACTCATGATAAACCCTCCAGCGCATTCTTTATGGTCATGACCTAGTCCTAAACTAGATGAAGAAGGAATAAATTGAGGGGAAAATGAGAAAAACAATGAAGAAAATAAAAAAAGTTAAAGACAAAAATTTAGAATTACAATATCAGCTTCTTAAAAGAAAGCAATAGTGTGACGTAGTATCGTAAAATATTTATATGTCATAGTGATTGTAATTGTAAAGAAAAAATATTATTTATATTTATGTTATTGTTAGAGAACAAGCAAGTACGAAATATAAATTTTTTTTTTTTAAAGTTAAAAAAGTATTAGAAAAAGTATGATGAATACATCATGCACTGAAAAAAAAAAAAACTAGAAAAGTAAGAATAAAGGAATGAATGAAATTTGTCCAAATTTATTTTCAAGGGTCCTTCGCCCGGAATAACCTCGTTCCCAAACACTATAACTTATCTATATTTCTATATCTTGTATTTCATAAGTGCTACGCGGTCCACATATTCTCATCGAATGAATGAAAGTATTAATGAATAAAAGTAATATATAAATGGAGAAATAACCATATTGAGGAAGAGAGCAAGTTGCGTCGTCACAGAATAAACACTTACTTATGTCCCATTTCATGTGCAACCGAAAAGGCTGCTTGCAATCCGCTGGCATAGTTAACACTGAATCCTAGGTTACGGTTACACGGATAACCAGAATATGCGACTCCTGGAAAAGAGAAGTTTAAAGATGTCAAATGTCGAACTTCACATGAGCCGAACCAAATAATATCAAGGACGACCGCTTTGTTATCCATTATCCATGTTATCCTCTATTGTCATGAATGAGTAAAAACTTGGATGAAACGCAAATTCAACAGGATTATGGTAAATTTGATAAATATGTATTAAATAGTTCAACGTACCACCCAAGTGACAGTCAACAGTGCCACAGAGACGCCTGAAAAAGGCACAAGAATAACGATTTAAATTATAGAAGCCTGCAATGATCTGAAGAAATGTAATAGCTCACTTCCGAGATATGCTTCGTTTGTCACGCACAAAGGTTTCAATGCGGAGCTACGTGCATAATACTCAGTGATTGGTGACAGGAGAAAAGAATAAACTTTACTCTAGCACGTAGCCTCGTACGGAAATCATTGCGTGTGACAAGCGAAGCATATCTTGGAATTGGGCTATTTATATTTACTTAATTACTTTGCTCACGCAGAGAGGGATTGCATAGCCTTATAATTAAGCCAGAGACTGACATTGAGCATTATCTTGGTTGTGAGTCTAACATAAGRATCCATTCCTTGGCGTTGCATGAGCAAAATGTTTTCTAATTTACTCAAATTTTAAGGCCGAGCATAATAGAATTAAATGTATTTTGTACTATTTTTTGTGGGGAGGCAGGGGGAGAGGCGGGGGGAGAGGCGGGGGGAGAGTCGGGAGTACAGAAGGGATATTGTCAAGATAACTACCTTGTTATAAGTGCAGCATTATCGAAGTGGCCAGGTGCAGCAGCGGGAAGCCTGAAGCTATGCTTGGATCCCCAGCTWGCGAACTTCTGTAGATAGGCAACAGCACTTTTGATGTTAAGGGTCTTATAGTCCAAACCTGGCTGTGGATGAAGACAAACACAAAACTAGAATCAGTTCAAGGAATTTCCTCATTGTGATTGTTACATGAATTTTTCCTTTGCTTCACATYTTTAGAAAAAAATAGATTTAAAATGGGTAAGGTTTCGAATGCTTTGTTCCTCAGGGTTAGCCTCGATTTTGGTCAGTTAACAAAATTCATAAGTTATATTATACGTTCCAATTTTATTATACGTGCAGCCGAAGTTAGCAGAGTTAAGATTTGTGGAATTTCAATGTGCAATTTTTACATATACGTAATTGTTGGTATTTGTCAATATGTTGACGAGTAAACATGTCGGAATCAAGGAACACACCGGTGTTTAACTAACTCACCTCAATACCCTGGATAATGAAGATTTTTGTCAAAACTACCGATATGTTGAAACCCATTGAAGCATCCCGGTAAAGGCGGTTAACCTAAAAAAGTGGGGGTATTAATTTTTCAGTAATTTCACATATCCAATCCATCTCAGTCACATCCAATCTATTTGAGACACATCCAATCCAWCTCAGTCACATCCAATCCATCCCAGTTCACATCCAATCCATCTCAGTCACATCCAATCCAT